ACATCCCAATTACATGTTGTTTGTTTGTAGGAAGTCAGGTTGAACTAAGTAAAGAACGTTTACCAGTAATGTGTCACTGGATATAAAAGGAGATGCATCCCAAAAGCATGATATCCCTGGGCTCCATGGAAGTTTTCCTTATTTTATGTCTTCATAACTGCCTTAATTATGTCCTAAATATGAGCAAGTTTTTGAAGAACATTTACAGTAGAGGCCAACTATTATTTTGCATTTAGAAAACTTTTACTATATAATTGTTAAGATTTAAGAAATAAGTCTGATTTTTCATTTTATTGGCCTAAGTAGCATTCAGAAATACTTTAAATCATTTTAATTTCTAATGGGCATCTGAGGTCTAACTCATTAAATAGCAAAACGAATAATTTCAAATACTGCTTCCTAAATGTGTGAAAATATTTTAGAGAGTCAAAGAGGAGAACACATTTTCCCAACCATATGCTGTCTTTAACATCTGGTGAAGCATTAGCCTTTTAATGTGAAAATCTGTTGTAGGTTGAAATGCAAACCTCATTAGCAATAGAAATGTTCTGTCCGGTAAAAATAAATAAATAAATAAAAAAACTAAAGTTAACGTGTTTACTGATTTAAAGTATCAATGGAAATGTTTGCCAGAAAATTTAATGAAGTATGATTCAATAACTAAATAAACCCAACAGCTTTTCCAAGTTATTTTAATGAATTTTACAGCACTTACATTTGTCAAAATAAAGTTATCTGTTTTATGCTTTCTATATGTGGTTGTATATGCATGCGTGTGTGTGTGTGTTGCATTAATGTGAGTATCCAGTTGCGAGTGGGCAGTGGGAGCACATATGAGGCTCAAAGAGAGCAATAGTGCCTTCCTATGTCACTGAACTACAAGCTCACTAACTTTACAAGCCTGCAGACCCTATGAATGCCTGGGATCCATCCACTTGTCTCCACCTCACATATTGAACATTTTTTGAAATTTTATTTTATGTTCATGAGTATTTTGCCTGTGCATATGTCTCTATATCACATGAATTCCTGGTGCCTTCTGGAGGCCAGAAAAGGGTCACCAGATTGCCTAGTACTGTGGGTGCTGGGAATTGGACATGAGTTCTTTACTGATGTGCTACCTCTCCAGCCCCCATACCCACCTTTTTACCTCAGTGCTGGGGATTCTAACTCAGGTCCTCATGCTTGCACTACAAGCCCTTCTACACAGTGAACCATCTAGTCAGTCCAAAATCAAGTTACCTAAAAATAATCAATAAAACTCTCTAACTCATCAAATTAATATAATTTGTAACATTGAGATGTCTATTATGTTCCATTGCATTATGTTATTCTTAGTGTTATACATTGAGTACTATATACTTCATATGTCTATTTGTAACAGCAGTTTATTTCTTTATATTTCATAATTATTAAAGTTGCCATTTTTCCTTTCATTTATTTTATTTTTTCAGATTGTAATATAATTGCAATATTTCTCCCTTTCCTTTTGTCCCTCCAGTCTTTCTCTTCTTAAAGATGACAGGAATATATTTCTATAGGATTTTGATTTTTAATATATAGTTTAATATGGAATTCAAATTTCTTTTTTTGTTTTTAATTATGTGCATATGTGTGTATCTACATATGGGTATGTGATCATGAGTGCTAATACCTGCAGAGTCCAGAAGAGGGTCTCTGATTCACTGGAGCTAGAGTTGCATGTGTTTTTAGGTGACAGGAACCAAACTCAGATTTTCTGTAAGAGCACTATGTGCTCTTTATTGCTGAGTCATCACTCCAGCCCTAGATCTCCTATCTTATCCACTTTTCATGGGATCCTGCTCAGTAGCCCAGGCTAGCCTGAAACTCACAGCTTCTACTTCAGGTCCCAAAAGGTATAATTGTGAGCATTCAGCATTACAACCTTTTCTCCCGACTGCTTGCAAATCATGTTGCTTTCTAAAATGTGGAGGTCATTATAAATAGCATATGAGTATTTTTGCTCAGAATACATTCCTGATTTAGCTCATTCCTACCTCATTGTTCTTAGGATTATAAATTTCACAGCCAGTCTATATAGCATGTTTTCTTGAGTAAAATATTTGATAAACAGTGCTACTGCATTAATTGAATCATAACCTAAACCTTTCTGGAGATCAAGAAGGAAAACAGCCAGATTTTACTTTGCTGAGTCCACATTATGAAAAATGTGGACAAAGCAGGCTGTAGAGTAAAGCATAAAGTAAACTTCAAGTGGTGAGTCTTGTGACAGAGAAACTCTGACTTTCTGGTTAAAGAAAAGATAAAAACATCCAGATTCTTCTACCAGTGTGAAAATGATCTAATACAATCTAAGACCAGATGAATCGTTTTAGATTTGCATGTAGTTACTTTGACTGTGGACATCATTTAAATAAGCATTACTTGAGTAATATTTAGTAACATATTTATTCTGCCAGATTCATTGAAAGAAAAGTCTTATAGCAAAATATAAATTACAGAAATCTTACTGTTTCTTTTCTGAAGATTTATAGAAAAAAAACAATTATTCATTTTAAACAAAGTATGTCCTAGACATATTTCAAACATTTTTATTTAATTTTTATGTATATGAATGGTTTGCCTGTCTATATGTATTTATACCATAAGTGTTCCTTGTGCCCCAGAGGCCAGAAGAGGGAATCAAATCTCCTAGAACTGAACTTAGAGACAGTTGTGAGCTGCCATATGACTCTGTGAATTAATCCTGAGTCTTATGCAAGGGGAACCAGGCTCTTAACCACTAAGCCACCTCTTTAGCCCCTGAGATATTTTCCATTTTTTTCTGTGTCTACTATGGCTATTAATGTGCAGAATAACGTTCTGAATATACAATGGGAAATTCTATGTTATAGCAGTGGTTTCCAGTTTTCTTTCCAATAGAGACCTCTGATTATTGTTTACCACAGAGACCTCCTTGTTTAAAAATGATTTTCACTGGTGTCATTAAAATTTTTTGTTCATAGACTATGGTTATATTTTTGAAATATTTGGAGGTGCAAGTTCCCAAATACCTCATTAATCTTTACAGAGATTTCTTGAGTTGCAGATCTGAAGTGGAAAATTACTATTTTAAAAAGAAATTGAATGTTAAATAGATTCTATTCATTTCTGTCATTTAAGTCGTTAATTCTTTAAAAAAATATTATTACATTCTCAACATGTTTTGCTAAGCTCCTAGAGACATAGAAAGAATGCAATTTATTATTTGACAGAGAATCCTCTAGGGATCCCCTGTTCTCAGGAGGCACATGAATATGTACAATATGAGTTCCATGTTCATCTTCGTTAGGTAATTCATATTCTTATGTCTCTGTCCTTCTTATAACCTGGTCTTGTTTCAGGGCCAAAGCAGTATCTGGCATGTGCAAACTGCATTCAAATTATCAAGACACCTTTTCATTGTATCAATTATTTGAAGTTTAAAGGGAAATGTTTATTTGGATTTGAACACAATTACTAGATGTTACAATTTCTCTGACTTAGTCTGGAGACTAGAAATGAGATCTTTAAATATGAAACAGTAAACCATCAACAAATATAAAATGTTGCACCTTACTAGAACATTTATTTTTAAACCTTTTATTTATAATTTCACAAGCTTCCCAAGCAATCATTGAAAATTACTATGCGGAATATTTAATTATCTGAAGCTACACATAACACCTAAGTGGAAAATGTTACATATATTCTATTTTTAAGATTTATTTATTTTTATTTTATGAGTATGAGTGTTTTGTATGCATGTCTGTGCACCACATGTATTACTAGTGTCCACGGAGTCTAAAAGAGGCCACCGGATCCTTTAGAACTGGAGTTGTGGTTGTTTATAAGCTGCCTTGTTAGTGCTGGGAATCAAATCTAAATCCTCTCTGGCTCTTAGGGCCCAGGGACCCTGAAAGTTGAACTTACCCAAATGGTTTCTCCCTGAGAATTAGCTTTCATGCAACCAGAAAGCATCATTCGAGCTTTCAAAGCCTGAAGACAACTAACAGTCCTATCGAGCTATGATGCTTATGAACCACTTCAATGACTAGCATAGCATAATAACCCTAAGGGTTCAGTAGTGGCACAAATACCTTGGTGAATACATTGGCTAAAACCAACAGCTCTCTATTTGAACTTAAGACCTGCTCAATATAAGGGAGACCCGGATACTGGAAACCTAGCTAACTACTCAGTGCTAGTGAAGTGGTTATTGGAGGAGCATCTACAACCATTGATTTGCTAGACCAGCATAATCCCAAACAACAATCTACCACACTATTAATCTTTCACATTCTACTACTCAAATTTATGTAGTGTAGCTGGAGAGTTTTCTCTCTGGGTCCTGCCAAGCCCCAGCAGTCCCACAGCCCACTTATAAAATAAACACACAGACTTTTATATTATTTAAACTGTTTGGCCTAATGGCTCAGGTTTCTAGCTATCTAGTTCTTACATCTTAAATTAACCCATTTATATAAATCTATACCTTGCCACATGGCTCATGGCTTACCAGTATCTTACATATTGTACTCATGGCAGCAGCTGGCAGCATCTCCTGACTCAGCATTCTTGTTCCCAGAATTCTCTTCTCTGCTTGTCCTGCCTATACTTCCTGCCTGGCTACTGGCCAATCAGCGTTTTATTTATACAGAGCAATATCCACAGCAATAATGTACTTATATTTTTGTTTATTTGAATAATTACCCTACTATTCATAATTTTACATGCAATAAGATATTGGTACTAGTCAAAAGTGGAGATCCATGCCAGTAATTCCAGCACCCAGAAAACTGAGGCAGAAGGATCATGAGTTTGAGGCCAATATAAACTATATATTTTTCCTCAAAACTTTCAAAATACATTTAAACTTTTTGGGTGTTTCTTTTAAGAAATTCCCTATGTTCTCCCTCTCTGTTCCTGTTCCAGCTCGAACCTCCCTGAGCTGGCCTACTCTGGTGATCAGATGGTTGAATACTCTATCATCATAGTACCTTTATCCAGTGACTGATGGAAGCAGATGCAGAGATCCACGGCTAGGTCCTAGGCAGAGCTCCAGTACCCAATCAATGAGAGAGAGGAGGGATTCTATAAGCAAGAGATAGTAAGACTATGATTGGAAAAAGTACAGAAACAACTAACCAAACTAGTGGAAACACATGAAGTGTGGACCAATAGCTGAGGAGCCCCCATGGTACTAGACTAGGCCCTCTGGATAAGGAAGATAGTTGTTTAGCTTGAACTGTTTTGGGGCCCCCCACACAGTAGGATCAGGACCTGTCCATAGTGCATGAGCCAGCTTTTTGGAGCCTAGTGCCTATGCTGGGACACTTGACTCAGCCTTGGTGCAGAGAGGAAGGGCTTGGATCTGCCTCAACTGAATGTACCAGGCTCTGCTGAATCCCCAGGTGAGACCTTGCCTTGGAGGAGGTGGGAATGGGAGTGGGTTGGGGGGAAGGCTGGGATATGGGAGGATGGAGGACAGGGGAATCTGAGGTTGATATGTAAAATGAATAGAAAATCTCTTAATAAAAAATATATGAAAAAATGATAAAATACTATAGAACCAAAAGAAAAAAATTCCCTTCGTTTATACATCTGAAAACATGACCTTTGTTTTTAACATTGTGAAAGAAAAAGTGGGAAACTCAATTGAAAAAGAAGAATTTTCTTCTCATTCCACGTTTAGGAGACAGTCACAATAAAAAAAAAAACATCTTAACATTGCTTCTCACATAAAAACATACACAACCTTTTCATTAAAACCATACTCTGACATCTTAATGTTAAGATTTTCTATTATTGTTGCCTTGTCTATAATCGAATTTCCTTACCACTGTTTTCTTTTACTAACTATATCTTCTGAAAATGAAATTGGATGCTGAGTTAGCCAGTTTTCAATATCTTTTCTACACTAGCATTTTAAAATTTTAGTATATGTTCTGGATTTTGTCTCTGTAAGGATTTGATCCTTAATAACGTTATCAACCTTCACCAGCTTCCCAGCCTAAAAAGAGGGTGGGCCCTCTGTGGGCCCTCTGTCCCCTCTCCTTTCTGCTCCTTCCTCCCCTTGGCCCCCCTCTCTCCCTCCCCCGTTTCTGTCTCTCTCTGTCTCTATCTCCCCCCCCCCCCAATAAAGCTCTGAAAAGGTAATCATGGCTATGATTCTTTTAATCAGCACGTTGCTCCGCTGGCATGGTCACCACAGGCGGTGACCAGCCACTAGGGGCAGCTCCGCGGCATAAACAACAGTCTCTCTGTGTGTGTATGTCCATGTCTGCACACATATGCTTGCCCATGTGCACACTGACACTCATGTGCATGCATGCATGCACCATGGAGTTTATAGGGATATCAGAGGTCAATTTTCAGAAGTCTGTTCTTCCTTCCACCATGGGATCTGGGGATCAGATTCAGGTCACTTGTGCAACAAGTATTTTATGCACTGGGCAATATTGCTGGCCCACAAGAGCATTTACTATTTTTTGAGAATTTCTTACATGAGAATATTGTGTTTACATCATATCCATTCCTTCCTTTCCCCTCTCCAACTTCCCCCATGACTTTTACCTCATATCCCCATATCAAAGTCATGTCTTCTTCTTCTGTAATTATCGTTGTTACACACACGGTATACATACATCCATATACATATATATGGATGGATGGATGTTAATGAATCCAATTAATGTTGCCCTTATGTTCATGGGTTTAGGGCTAATTAACTTGGTCATGGATGTAGCTGTAAGTTTCTCCAGTCCCACTTGAACCCACGTCCGTTTGTTTCTCTGGTACTGCCTGGCCCCTTGGTCCTGCAGCTGCTTATAAAATAATCACTCAGAGGCTTAATATTAATTACAAATTATATGGCCTATGGCTAAGGTCCTTGCTAGCTAGCTGCTCTGGTCTATACTGTTGGCAAGTAAACTGCTATAATTCTGTGCAGATCTTGTGCAAGCAACTTTATTGTTGAAAAATTCATGGGTGCACCATCCCTGTTATGTCTAAAAGACACTATTTCTCACCAATCTTCCCATCCTCCATCCTGTAGTCCTTGATACACACACACACACACACACACACACACACACACACATACACACACACAAACACATGTATATGTGGGACAGACAAGCAGAAAGATGGACTATAAGAGGAAATAAAGGGGTCTGAAGGGAAAAGAGTGTTGTTTAAAAGCCACTAAAGAAATCTATAAATAAAACAGTATATAATATATATATATATATATACATATATATATATATATAAAAACTTGTTTCTATAAGATATAAAAGAGGAATGAAAAGCAATCACCAAAAATAGTACAGGTTTATAAATCATTGTAATATTCATGACAATGTAAATCCTAAATTTTGCATTAGAATATGTACATAAACAGATAGGTTTCACTCACAATATCTGCATTTCAGGAATTTAAATATAAAAATAAGTACTTAGATATCAAAGTGGTAATAATAATGATAAACTGTATAGTATTCTTAGCATGACCAACTGTTAATAATTTCCTTTTAAAAATGCCTCCATTGGTAGTACACCTTCCTTTAGAAACACTTAATAAAAAAAAAACTTTTGTTATTTAGTTAGCTGTAACAATCACTGTATTCATCTAGTTTGTTTTGTGAGGTTGCAGATATAAAAGTAAGACATGGTAATTTAATATTAATATGAAATCATCCGAATGTATTATCATTGTTTAGAAAATTCAACATTTTATTAGATTTTCCATTGATGGAATTTGCTACTGTTTTTCTCTACCCAAGATTGCTCTTAAAAACAAAAGAAATATATAGAAATTTTAAATGTATGATGCATACACTATTATTAATTTTTAAAGTTAAGCATTCTGAGACAGGTCTTGTTAAGTAATCTGAAGGAATTGTTCATGTGAGATGTAAGTTCATTTATTACTATAAAATTTGGTTGACACCATTTTAAGGTTATTTTAACACATTAGGGAATGTGAAATTAAAGTGAAACCTTAAGAAAAAGCAAGACTTGGGTTTGATAAATGAAACATGTTTTTCTTTTTTATCCAGAAGAAAACAAAATATAAGCTTTAGTGCAATTTACCGACACCCTTAATTGAGTTTTAAGCCTAGCATCTGCATCTTGGATGACTATAGGCTTAGCACCCAGGGTGTGAAGAAACCAGCAGGAACTGACTAGCTTCTCTTTGTTCTGATGTCTATTTATCTCCTCAGGCCCAATGCTCTCCTCCTTCTGCAAAAGACTGAAATTAAGTAATGCTGCCTGCACTCTCTAATTTTAGTCATAGCATTCTTCTCAGGATGGCGGGGTGGAGAGACTGTATTGTGACAAATATTTCACCCTCTTTTTCAACCTAAGGATGATAATTTCAGTGTCATTTATAATAGATATGGGAGGTTAGAAATGTCTCCATCTTAGCAGCTGTAAAATTGTTATCATAAAATAACTTGATTTTAGGCATTTCATTTCATTGCTTTAGAAGTAAGAGGAGGAGTTATTTTGCTCAGAAAAAAAATAGAAAAGGATTCAGTGAACTTCTATTCATCTGGCAGCAAAAGTAAAGTTAAGGCTATAGTTTTCAAGAGATAAATAATTTTACAATATCATTTATATTTCTGATTTATCACTTAATGCTCAAAGATATTTTGATGAGGAAAATTTTAAAAGCTTCGATGATTCTTTTTTATATACTCAACCTTAGTTCCAAAATCTGCAATCTCCATATGTTTGAAATTACATTTCCAATTCATGAAGTCAGCGTTATTTTTAAAGCTCCTCTTTTATATAATTCTAACTTTTATGGTAGAGACTTACAATTTACTATTGATAGCTTGTTTTAGTTTGATCGAGTTACAGGTTGGTTATTGTTGTGATTCATACATACCTACAATGTAATGTTAGAAGTTAATAATCAGCATTTAAACTGAGTGAACTATGAACATGTCAACAGTTAAAAATAATAGATGAAATTTGAAGAGATATGGGGAAAAGACTGAATCTATTCATACATTGAACTAAATAGTTTATTTTATTCCTTAATTCAGTCATTCAAAAAGGCAAAATATAGGTTATTTCAGGCCTAAAACTCACTAGTAATAGTTGTACACACTGCCTCAAAGACCCTAGAGTCCACAAAACAACACATACCTTTAATCAAAAATTCTCAAATGATTGATCTGATGACAACAGTCCTAGATACCAAGGTAACATGACAGAGGAATAGTATCATAATAGTTCTGAAAATTGTCCAAAGCCTTTCTGGAGGAAGAAATATATTTTAAAGATTTGTTTATGTTATCACATGTGTATGAGTGTTTGCTTGCAGGTTTGGTTTGCAACATGTGTATGCAGTACCCAAAAAGGCAATGAAAGGACAGTAAATCCCCTGGAACTGGATTTAACAGATTTGTCAGCTGTTGTTTGAATGCTGGGAACCCAATCCAGATCTGTAAAAGCAACAAGTGCTCTTATCTGCTGAGCCATCTCTTTATCACCCAAAGAAGCAATACTATTGTTGAAATTCAAGGAATAAAATGGTATTAGGTATTGAGGAGGAGAAAGAAAGTCCAGGGACAGGATATGTGAATAATACTGACCCAACTCAAAGAAATTCTATGCAGAGCTCTGCTTTGGTGGTTTCTCTGGCTCCGTGTAGGGAGCAACATAACTGGTGGCAGATTTGAGGTAAAATTTGACTAAATGTCTGAAAATTATTAGATATTACATGATTTCCTGTGGTGATATCTTGTGTACCCCAATAAAGCTTGCCCTGAGGATCTGAGAACAGAGGCAGTCACTAGATTAGACATAGAAGTCAGACAGTGGTGGCACACTCCCTTAATCCTATCACTCAGGAGGCAGATATCTGTCTGGATCTCTGTGAGTTCAAGGCCACACTGGGCTACATGAGAGAAACAGAGCCAAGCTGTGCTGGCACACACCTTTAATCTCAGCACTTGAGATAATGTGCCTTTGCTTGGGAAGCACACACACATTTAATCCCAGGAAGTAATATGGCAGGACACAGAAAGTTATATAAGGTCTGAGGAAATAGGAACTCACTCTCTTTAGACTGAGGATTTCCTGGAGGTAAGCTAGTGGCAGCAGCAGTTCACCTGAAACCCTCAGGGGTGAGGACTCAGAGGCTTTCAATCTGAGGATTCCTGGAGAAAGGATCTGCTGAGGAGTTGGTGAGATGAGGTTGGCTGTAGCTTGTTCTGTTTCTCTGATCTTTAAGCTTTCACCCTGATATCTGGCTCCAGGTTTTTTACTAATAAGACTGTTTAGCAATTTGTGTTACACTTTTCTTTTCTTTTACCCTATTTCCCTGGAGAATTTGCCTTCTATTCCCTTTTCATGCTCATCTCTGGAAACAAGCTTGTAGGCACCCTAAACAAAACATCCAGTCAGTCTGGTCGGCCTATCCTCCTCTAAGATTTTATGATCCTCCCTGACTTTTTCTGCTTGACCAAATCAATTCCTTTATTTTATTTTATTTTATTTTATTTTATTTTATTTTATTTTATTTTATTTTTTTGAGGCTGAGGGAAAAATTCTCTCTGAGCAGCCCAAATCAGACTGAGAGCTACCTTGTAAACTACCTGCCAGTGCAACTAATTGGAGCAGTTTATAGAAGTATAGAAACAAACTTGTATGGCTTCATTCCAAACCTACACATGTGGTCATTTTCTCTAAAAATAAGTATGTCGGGAAATTTGTTGTTGAGCATAAAAACTATAGTTAACAATTTTGTGTTGTGAAAAATTGCTTATATACCATACCAATATATGCACTTAAGTTTATACAATAAGTTTTTAAACTTCTGTTTGTTTCTAGGTTATACTCAACAGATTTTTGTAAAGGATATACTAAATTATGGGAGACAATATTTTTTAAGGCACTAAGTTTTGCCAGTGTTAATATATATGAAAGCATTAAAATTTTTTCAATTGTCTAAAGTGATATTATTAATACATTTTTAGTTTAAAAACTTCAATAAAAATATTTGTGTGTGCTAATAATATTTTGAAAGATAAGGAGGCAGCATCAACATAAATAATTTGCTTGAGAAACAGTTTGCTTTTAGACAAAATATTAATATCATAATTTAGAATTAATTCACCATTTTTCTTTTTAAAAGTTCATTTCTGAAAAAGAGAAGAATCCATTAAAATTTAAGTTAGGTAAACAGACATAATTGGCACTTTAACATAAGCAAACAGAATTTATTGTATAGTGCAGCTAATTATTACGATGCTGAAATGCCATCTGTTCAACTTGAAAACTTCTCTTGAAATTGACTAAGTGTAAGTAACAATTGTGTTAGGTATAACATTCCCAACTTGATTGTCCTTAAAAATATTCATGAGATATTTCCATGATTGAGACATTATTTTACTCTTTTGCCAAGGGTTTCATTGTTCA